TAGAATATTGCTGTTTAGTAATACATTTGAAATCCATAAGTACAATTTCTTACGCTGAATCGAACGGTGGTATTTTTATCCTTATTGCGCCATTTATAAGAGGCATTACATTTACAAATACAATATTATATATGTTTCGCACTGACGCCACTGAGTACACTACAGACAGTTTTCACGGACTGTTGTTCGATAAATTTTATATTGATGACACCAATATGCTTCTCATAAAGTAGTTATAATTTAAACTGCACAACGTAGTTTTAATAAATAACCTTTTACCTTGAAATTGTCTTTGGCTCCTTTATATCAGTTCAGATTCAGTATATTATGATCGTGCACGGGAATTCAACTATCCAAATTTCGGGTTTTCAAAGTCGTGCACCAAGAAAAACGCATTAAATAAACTAGCATGAATGTCCAGAGTTAGACACAAAGCAAAATCCATAGAAAACAGGTACAATTCGGCCAAAATTTTCATGAAATGGGGCCCGGAATTGTTTGAAACATTTTGCCCACTCCACGAAAGGCCCCGCCATTTTGAAAAGGATCAAGCAGCTCATTAATATTCTATTTTGTGGCTATCGACGATTGGAGATCCGTGATCCGTGACAAATGCAAGCCGAAACCTATACTCGTCCAGGGCACAGGTGCCCCAGCGAGTAATAATGCCTGTTTGTTTTCGTTTTTACAAATTATAGCTTCGTCTCCACTTGTTGTCAAAACAATTAATGTGAACAAAATTATCTAACCTCAACCTTAGCGAGTTGATCGTGCATTGTAACTCCACAAAAGCATTTGACTCTTTTTCTATTTCTTAACTAATCATTTTACATGTTAACAACATCGTCATACCTTTCATCACCTTTCAAAGAAATTTCAAGTTGCTTTATCAAGAACGAGTGTAACGATGGAAATCTTGAAAAAAATTCTCGACCAGTCATTCTTTAAAGAAAAGATAAAAATAAAACATAACATTGTGGTGTCCATAGTGGTGTTCTTAATTCCAGGACTAAATGAATAGGAATATATAATTCTTTATTAAAACAAGGTAACAAGTTGCTATATGCATATTTAATATGATAGATATCATTATAATCACCAATAGTGGAATTTTGTTACATTAATGTGCGAAGATTTCAATCTCTACGCATAGTGATCAACCTCACAGGGCATTCTGCTATTTAACCACTGGGCCATTTAGCCCAGTAGGCCCATTGCTTGCCCCAGCCAAGCTTTTAGCCAGAAGGGCGTCCAGGCGTCCTGAGACGCCCCTATAACGAAAAATGGACGCCTTTGGACGCCCAAATTCTGGGGGAAAAGGGAAATTATTTTCAATTATTTCCCTAAGTATATTAATATATCTGAAACGAAATAGCTTCAATTTGATAGTGTACCTGGCTGAATGAAAATGTCGTAGTTAAGTAAAGAAGCATAGCGGCACAAACTCACAAAGCCAAGTGTGTTTGAAAAATGTCGAACGAGATTGGAACAGATACTGACATGAAGTAACGTAAACTTCAAAGGTTTTCCCCTTTACTGTAAATGTTATACCAAAATTGGACGCCCTCTTTTAGGACTCTGGATAAAGCCTGGCCCCAGCAGTGAAGCAAGAAATTCAGATAAGTTGGACCTTTTTTACCTTCAATGAAAAGCTCACTTCTCAATATGAGAATCAGGCAGAAAACTGCATCTGCCTGCCTTCTCATATATTCTCACATTCTCGACATCCGGCAGTCTTATAAAAGACAGAATGGTCCAAATGTACACCTAACTATGTGGGGAAAGCCCTTTATTAAGCAAGACCTTGCCCTGCTAGTTATATATCTTGAAGAATGCCCAGCAACTTCGAATGTGTCGAAGGAGCAACATATGTTGGTAAATGCCCCCAGCGTTATACATGAATTTAGCACTAAACACAAAGTCTGCAATGCTTTCTTTTGGTATTTACTACCAAGTCACACTTAGTAAAACGCTCTAATAGTTAACCAAATATGCAATGGAAAATGTTAAACATACCCTTGCCGACGTTTCTCTTCTTGAACGCTCTGAGGACCAAATATTCTGTTCATCAATGCACTGAATAGCAATGTGGAAGAATTGCGAACCTATATGAAAAAATACATGCCTCAATTTTACTAAGTTAAACATGAAGCAAATGTACTCTTAAAATCTTACGGTAATGACGACAACTCACAGCCCATATTTCTGACAGGAATCCCTCTACAGCGACGTGAACACCGTCAGCAACGTACGGAAAAACATCTTCACCCAACTTAGTCTCTTTGTAAAGAGCACGGAGTATGTTTCTGGCATGGACCTGGAAAATGAAATTAATAACATTAAATAAATACTCATTCTTAAGTTGATCATACAGTACGACAAACGTCTGTACTGATCGATAGAGAAGTTGATCACACAACAGTATATATAAACGAAACAAACCTGAGGTAAGGTTGTATCCTTATTTGTATCCTGTGTGTTCACAGGTTTAGCTGCCGTTTTTAACAGTTCTAATTGTAAGAGTAAAAAACATTATTTTACTAAGGGAAGATATCAGAATTCAGCATTTAGTCGATCGAGATCCCGGGCCGATGGAAGGTATTGGGTCTATCACGCATTCTAAACGGCAAAAGTGTCCAGAAATTCCAGCGTAAAAATAAAAAAGACCTTTTCATGACACTTAAAGGTAAAGTAAAAATGTTACGCTCCAGTAATTCTGTGAATGGATTATAGTGTAGATGCAACGCATGAACGTGCATTGAAATTGTATCTCAGCTATCAGATTTATATTAAAGTAGTACCTTTCATAACAGATTTAAAATAGCATTTGCCAGTTGTATTTGGCTCAGTTGTTACAATGGCCTAAAAAATAATAATAGACTCATTATTATTATAATTATTATTATTAACAATATTTATCGAGGGAACCTACTTGCCAATGCGGTGTTCAGTGGGACCCTGTTAAAATATTCAAGTCTTAAATATTTCAAATAGTCTTAAATTATTCAAGAATAATCCACGTGCGTGGGTGGTCATTCTCACTGATCTCAAAAATATGGCTGTTTGCAAGGAGGGGGCCGGGTATGCAAGATTTCAATTATTAAAATTGTTTCATACAATGAGCTTTCAAGCAATTTTGTTTTTAAAGAATTGATTCACTCTACGGCAAATCGTGAAATACAGGGTGTATAAAAAACCCTGCACAGTTTGAAAATGTCTGCTAAACTGCAAATTTCACAACATTTGTGAAAACGTTATGCAAGCATGGCTATTATGGGGTATGCCAGCATCTTCACCATTAAAATTATTTTGAAAAGTAAATTTTCGAGTGCATGAGGCATGCGCACAAAATGGAAGGCTTAAACGCAATTTTAATTCATAGAGTGGAAATTTAGAAGATGGTTTATACACTACCAAAGTACCAGATTATTTCACGTACATTATGTCCGACCTGTAAAGCTTGGACTTTTTGCCGTAGTAGCCTTTCATGCATAATTTTTAAAATTTTTGTAAAGGATTTGTTAGAAATCAAACATGTATAAAATCATTCATGTATAAAACTATTCATACGTGTGATAAATTATGAATTCCAATTACGTTTAAGCCTTCCATTTTTGGGCGTAAGCCATTTTTAAAAACAACCCTTGGAAATAAGTTTAGTGGTAAAGATATTACTAGCACATCTCAAACTATGCCCATGCATGCATGCATGCAAAAGGTTTTCACAAATTCTTGCGGAATTTGCAAGGTTTTTGTATACACCCTAAACAGGACAAGTTTGCTTTGAATGTTTAATTAATGTTAATGAATTTTGCTCCTGATCATGGTTCTACTGGGGTACCCATACCAATATCAAGTTATACCGTAGCCTGCGTGGCAGACGGACAACCCGCCGTGCAAGACCTAAAAACGGGCGAGGCGAAAGGTCTTTTCCACTTGATGCTAAATCTTATTTGTTGTTCAATTACCTTAAAGAAAAACGGTAAACCAGCACTCCTCCTTGTGCCGCACAACCATGGCGTAGGATTGTCTGAAGAAATATCATTTAGAAGCTTGGTAAGGAATACCCCTGGAAGACGCTGGATCTCTCCTTGTTCACATCTGGAAGGCACAGAGTGTTAAACATAAGTGCAAATTTATTTAACGTTATCCGGCCAAGTCTAGTTAGAATTGGCTTCCATGAAGAATTCGCTTATGATCACGAGATGGCGAGTGTAAAATTACAATATTTTTGCTGCAACTTTTGCGATAATTTTTACGATGACCGCTGCTATCATATTAATTCTACACTAAAACATTTATTGGCACTTTTTTGTTTTACTTTATTTTTTTGTGAACAAGGTTTTTTCCAGTAATTTGGTGTCGTCTCGTGGAATGGAAAATTCCATCTTTCACCTCATAAAACTATTTTCACCATTCCACACATAAACACTCATCATTTGTATGCTAACTAATCGTTTGAATCAAGTAACATTTATGGCTAAGTAACAATTGCCAGATTGGTGTCAGATTACTGCAGAGTCTGTATTATCTTGATGACGACGTACAAAATATTGCTCAGATGCTTAACTTTCCTTAAAATACAAAACAATAAACCGTGCGAACACTCCTAAAATTTTAATGGTTAACAGCTGAAACGCAGAGAAAATATGAGACTTGTAGTGTGAAAATCAACCTTTCTCTAACACCATTTTCTTCGTTTTGTAGTTTAATAATAGGTTTTATATTTTGTAAAATGCAACGTGCTGTGAATGTACAATGAGAAAATCTAGAAAATCCAAATGTAAACCTGATGCCCGCTAAGATATGTGCGCTACATTAGTCATTACCTCCATAACATATGACAAAGCTTCACAAATCCTTCGTGTGCCAGTTCATAAGCTCCTCTATGTTTCGATGTCAACAAGATTTTCGTAAAAAGTTGACCAATTTCTTCGAACTAAACATAAATAAACCAGTTCACCACAAAGATTGTTGTTATACATAGTCATAGATTGGAATGTCAGGTGGTTCTAACATATTTTGTCCGGGAGATTACAGTTTAGAAATTGGTATCGGGAGAGTTGATCAATATACCAAGATAAATGGGTTCAATTTTCAAAAGAAACTTGATTCGTGTTTTGAGAATTTTCCAACTCACTCGCGAAATAGTTACGATAACATTAAACTAACATCTCAAACTGTATATACCTGTTCAAAACTCAGCAATCCATAACTTTGATCTTTCTCCTTCACTGGAGCACGCTTAGTTATTTCCCCAAGCAACAAAGAAACTTCTTTCATTGCTCGCCAACAGCAAACTAACAGGATTTGAGCTTTGGGTGCAAAATGATCAAGCACTTCGTCATTTTCGTCATTGTCTATACGAAAAAAACAAAGTAAAGACAAATACATAATGACAATACTTTGCACTAGATCGGGCATCTCATGTGATGGCTTATTGGTAAAGGTCCTGCTAAGTTGAGCTTCTCTTCGAGTTTGATTCCTGGGTGAGACGTTCAGAATTTTCAGCAATGATTTGACTTGACTTCAACTACTTCATTCTACTGCAATAGACAAGGACCTATACGCATTTGCAATCATCCTTTATTTTCAAGTGACAGGCCCATTGCCGACTATAGAAGGTCAAATTTACCCACTGAAACGTCCGTCTATATTGCCCTTAATTTAACAAGTCTTATCTCTTTGTTCTCAAAGTCTAAACCCAACATAAGGATATCACGAAAACTTAGGCCCCGTTCACATGAGACCGGAACAAAGTCAAACCGGATCCATTTCGTTTCGGTCATAGTATAATTTATAACAGATGTTTACATGAGACCGGGACGAAAATGACTCAGACCGGTCTCAAGTCATTCCACCTGCTGGACCGAGCCGACTGACTTCAGACCGGCATGAATTCAGACCGGGATGAATGTAAACACAAATAAATTTCAGACCAGTCTCGGCTGTAACCTTGACATTGGAACAACATATGCTAACAAAAGCCATATGAAAAAGAAACTTGCCTGGCAAGGGGAATAAATTGAAAATTTTGTGATTTTCGTACCGGTAACCGGTCTCATGTAAACCGGTTTCATTCCGGCTTGACTTCGTCCCGATCTCATGTGATCATAAAGCTGCATATTCCCACAGCCCCAGTCTCCTTGGAGCGTCTTGTTTTAAAATAAAACCAAACATATTTCAAAAGGCTGTGCTCAACATTCCGTACCGGTAAGTGGACTGGGTTGAGGTAGAGACATGGGTTATTTAGGGTACCTTATAGTTTGCTATAAATTGCGTCACATAACGTCAAATTAGACAGATTTTGATCGCGGACGTCAAAAACGACGTGAAAATGGCGTGGCATATCCATACATGGGCACAACACGCCATTTTCACATCGTCTTTGACGTCCGCGATCTAAATTTGTCTATTGTAAATACAAAACTTACCATTGTCGCAAATATTCCCTTCGGGAGAGGAATTTGTTACAACCGGAGAAACAACGTCAGTGACGTCATAACATACTTGTAACATAGCGGAAATTAAGCACTGCCACTCATTGTTGCCAGCGACATCACTAAAATGAAAAAAGTTGGTATAGTCGAAAAACGTCTAAGCAGCTCCTTACCTCACCAATTACGTTTGATTTTAAAGGATATAACAATAAAAATTAACTTTGATTATTTGAAAGAACTTTTAAAGTTGTATATGAAAACCCTTTCGTACCTTTCTTGGTTTTAAAAATATTTTGACCAAAAACAATGTGCAGTCCGGCATCTTGGTATTATTACTTGACCTGATTAACTGAGTTTTTGATGACGTCACAAGCAGGGTAAACTTGTTAAAACTTTTACATTTGGGACTAAATTTCTTCGAAAATTTTCTTAAAATGTTGTGAGTTAACTGAGTACTAAAAAGACGTCGGAAAATCGAGTTTCATATTAATAATGACATGTGATTTGCAAGATAAAAATTTCGCTTTTTACCTTACTTGTGACGATGCATATCGAATGCATATCCAAGA